GCCATCCCTCTGTGCTTCGCCATCAAGCTGACTTGTAATGTGAAGGAATAAAGTTGTATTTCTTCATTTGGTACAAATATCATTCACACAAGCAAAATATCAGCCTGCTATTTGTAGACTGTTACTATTCAAAACAATACAGAAGAAAGCACAAGGAGCATAAGGATGTGCTCATGATGTCAGTGGGTTCCTGCTTAAGTTCTTGTGTAATGAGGCCATAATCAAGCTGGGAACAAGACAAGGAATCCTGAATTTTGCTTTAACATCAGTTGCACCCACGTCACATCACCTCCTACCTTCCTCTCTGATTTCCCTTGCTGGATAATCACATTTCTGCTCTAACATCCACACACTGCACAACCCTGCTGGGTGCCACAGGATCCAACCCCAGCCAGCTCTGTCCTCGCTGCAGCCAATCCACCACCCTGCAGTAGAAAGCTGCCACCACAGTCCAGGTTTTACATCACTGCTGCAACACATCTCAAACCACACAATGGAATGGAAAGAACAAGAGCAGACTCAAAGCAGCAGCATTTGTGGCTTTGCTTTTCTCTCAAGTAGGAAGTCGTAACGAGAAGCACAAGCACTGTTGTGTTTTCACATTTTGCCTCTCAGATGGTGGTTGACAGGTTAGAAGGTTATCTACAGCAGTTGGTTTTAGAGTGAGCAACCCAGGTCATTACTCAGAGCCCCACCAGGTTGGTGTCCCACCAAACTACCTGTGTTGTTACTGCTCTCACAGTGTCTGCACAGTGTCACCAAGGGAAGCCTTGTCCTTTTCCAGCAGGGCATCTCAGCCTCCCCCTCCTCCTATAAGCAAAATCAGTACAATCCCCAGAACCCAGGAAGCAAAATTCCCTTATGGGATGGCTCTACATCCAGGAAAGCTCAGAGCTCTGCTCCCTTCCCTTCTCTACTCAGAGCTCCAGAGCAGCAGCAAAGAGAACTGCTGAGATAACAGCTAAGTGTTGTGACCAGAATTGATGAGCAATTTTCCAGTTTCTTCCCATCAGGAACAAAACAAACTCCCTCTTATGCTTTCAGTTCATTAAGCCCTTGCCTCAAACCCAAGCAGATAAGGTGAAGGCCATCTCCAGTGCAGAGCTCCCACAGGGCTGGCCATGAAAGGGGAACGAGAAGCCAGAACTTTGGGTGGGACTGGGACTCCAATGCATGGCACACAATTAATAACAGCAAAAACAATGCTTACAGCCAAACAGCTCTGCTTACCTCACATTTAATTTGCGCTCCTCATCACTGCCAGCCTCCAGCTGAGGGGAGAAAAGGAGACAGAGAAAGTTACACGCTGGTTGTTTCCATAGGACTAAAAGAATACATCCTTTAAAACCATCCCAACAACAGTGGGTGGTTGCACCCCATGTTTTTGCAGTGCTGGGGATAAAGGAGACGCACTCTGGCAATACATGCCTGCTGACAAAGGGGCTCATGGGGGCTTTAAGGCTATTAGGCCCTAATCCTGCAAGCTGGTCCTGCAGCGTGCACCACTCTGAAGCACAGCAACCTGTTCTGTGCACACAGGAGTGCTGGGTCTGCTTCCACCTCCCCACCAGCTCACAGACCAAATTCCGCATTAAAGAAAAACAGAGTTTTGGTTAATTGCATCCAGAGCTGACTGGAAGAAAAAAGCTCAAAGATCTCTCCTTTGCTTTGCTTCTGCATGACCAGAATGAGGGCCAGCAGCATCCCTCTGAAGGGCTGGCTGTGCTGGAGATCCAGGACCTTGTGGATTGTGTTGCAACAGGGAAACTTCTGCTCAGACCTGCAGGACACCAGAGCCTGGATAACTCAGAGCATGCTCTCCTGTGCCTGTGTCTCCCCATTAGCACCAGCAATGTTTTCTTATTTATTAACACTGCTTAAAACCCACATCAAACAGGGTCCTGGGAAGGGTTAGTTGTTTTCAGGTGGTTTCTCACGACTCAAAAACAAGCAAGTAGTTTCACGCCACACATTTAAGCTTAAAATTTTGAGAGTGTGCACATAGGGACCAGGTTGTTCTGCATCCTCCTCCTATTATGACTCAGGGATCAGAGTCTGCAACCTGCAAGAACCACACGACCACTCAGTCTGGGTACTGAAGTACAGCCATGGGGAGTAGAAAGAGGCACAGATCCCATCTCAAACAACCACAACGGACGACGATCTGGAGGAAAGCATACCAGCTCTATTTTTAGTTTGTTTACATGGCGTGGCCAGAGGCAGAGCCAGAGGCAGCCGCAGTGCTCACAGCACCCTGAGCCCCTTGCCCACGGCCCTGAGAGAGCTACAGGGTCCAGTGAGGTCACTGCTGTGTTTGTTTGGGTCAGTCACGTAGCAACAGGATGGAGAGCAACGTTTTTTTAAACAAGCAGGACTGCAAAATCCCAGATGAGGTTCAGCAGCAGAGCTGGGCCTGGAGCTGCTCTGAGCTCAGCTTTTGCAGCCACTGACTTGGTTTCAAGTCTACTTTCCTTGCTGCAGGAAAGAAACAATGGAAGAGAGAAGCAGCCCACAAAACAAGCACAGCATCTATCCACATTCTAAGGCATTACCCACAAGGGGTATGGAATGAGCAAGTGGGGCCAGAACACACATCGTGACACCACCACTGCTCTGATGGATCGCCCCTATGGATTTATGGCGTGTTACAACAGCGAGTCTCGTGAAGGCAGCAGCATCCATTTCCTACATTCCTTCAGGCTGAGGAGTTAAGAGAGGCTGCAGCAGCTTACTCACAATTAGCAAGAACATTTGGTCATCATTTTCCATTTTAAAAAGATCTATCTTCTGGTAATTAATCACCATACGCTAAAAACCCTGTGAATCCATCCCTTGGAGAAAGGGGAGAAATGAGGCACTTTTAGGGGGGATTTTCCTTTGAAATCTGCTACCAGGCTGAATTCTGACTGTTTGTAGCTCTGCAGGGCTGCATGCCAGGAGGGAACATTCACATGGGAGAGGGGACTCCTCCAAGGGCCACCAAGGCACAGCCAGGAAGCAAGCTTGGTGAAAAACTGGGGGCTGCATGGTTACCTCACCAAGAAACCACTAGTGGGCAGTGAGCTGCATGGCACGAAACCTAACCCAGGTGTGCATGGGCAGGGAGTGAGCAGCGCACCTGGACCTTTCCTCCCAGTTAAATCCAGCCCAATTGCACCAGCTGCACCTGGTGGTGGCCATCTGCAGAGACGGGATGGTTGGCAGGTTTTCATAGAATCATAAATGCCAGAAAAGGCCTCTGAGACCGCCAAGTCCAGGCCCAACCCACCCCTGCCAGGCCCACTAACCGTGACCCTCAGTGCAACATCTCCATGTTCCTTTAGCAGCTCCAGGGACAGTGACACCACCATGTCCCTGAGCAGCTGTGCCACTGCATCACCGCTCTTTTGTTTAATTTTCTCCCAGTATCCATCCTGACCCTCCCCTGGTGCAAACTGAGGCCACCACCTCTCATCCTACTGCTGTTACCTGCGAGTAGAGGCCGACCCCTCCCCACAACCTGCTGTTAGGAGTTGTAGGTAACCATAAGCTCTCCTCCCCTGAGCCTCTTCTCCTTCAGACCACAGTGCTTTGTCCCATTCCGCAGCTCTGAGCAGCAGGATCCATGCCAGAACCCAACACGCTCCTTCTGCAGGGCACAAGCACCATCCCCACATCCCTCAGCCAGGGCAGGGCTGCTCCGGGCCCCAACCACCGCACGGTGCTCATCGCCGCACAGCTAAACGGGGGCCAGCGGGCCCTGACAGGTGACAAATAGGATTGCGCACCTGCGGGGCCAAGGGCAGGGAGGAGAAGGATGGGGGGCGGGGGAAGAAACAGCTTTTTAGGGTCACCAAAGAGAAAGACGGGAGGAGGGGAGCGGCGGGGTGCAGCAGGCGGCAGCGGGAGAAGCAGAGCCAGCAGAGCGAACCGCCGCTCGGCGGGGCCGGGTGCATCCCAGGGACGGCCGGGCCCCGCGGAGGCCTCGTCCGAGGCCCACCCCACCCCTCCCCGCCTCACCTCGCTGGTGCTGGCCGAGGAGGCGGCGCTGGGGGTCGGCGAGCGCTGCAGCGTGACCAGCGCCATGGCGGGGGGGGGCGGACCGCGGCGACGAGGGCCCGGCTACAACGGCGGCTGCGGGGCTCCGGCCGCCTTCATCCCGCCTGGCGGCTGCGCAGCACCGGGCCCCGCCGGCGGCCGCCGCGCTGCGGGGAGGAGCGAGGGCTGAGGGGCGGGGAGAGGGCCCGACTGGGCGGGGCCGAGCGGGCCGGGAGCGAGAGAGGCCTGGGGCCGGGCGGGGCCTAGCGGGGGTAGGCCGCGGGCAGGGCGGGGCCTAGCGGGCTTCGAGGGGGGCAGGCCTGAGCTGGGCGGGGCCTAGCAGGCCTGGTGGGGCCTAGCGGGAAGGAGTTGAAGGCGGGGTTGGGGGGTTCAGGGCCTTTGAGGGGATGGAGTTGCTGGGTGCTCGGGGGATGGAGGAGCTACGCGATACGGGCTGAGAGATTATGGGTGCGGCCCGCGGGAGGGAAGGCTCTGCAGTGCTTCTCTTTGTGGGGATTGTATTGGTGGGAGTAGGAGAGCAGCTGTAGCCTAGCAGAGGTGGGTTTAGGTGAGATGCGAGGAGGAAAATCTTCAATGTGGGGCTGCGGAGATCATTCTGAGAAGCTGTGGGTGCTCTGTCCATGGGGGTGCCCGAGGCCAGGCTGGGTCTGCCTGGTGTTGTTCAGTCTGGGTGAACTCGTTGCTCCCAGCAGCACCCTGAAGGGACAGTGTAGCAAGGGGGGGGTCCCTGCTCCCAGCTAACAGCGATAGGACGTGAGGTGATGGCCTCATGTTGCACCAGGGGAAGATCAGGCTGGGTATTAGGGACAATTCCTTCTCAGAAGGAGCAGTGATGCAGTGGCACAGCTGCCCAGGGAGGTGGTGGGGTCACCGTCCCCAGAGGTGTTCAAGGGATGTGGAGATGTGGCACTGAGCGATGTGGTCAGTAGGCATGCAGGGGGTGGGTTGGGGTTGCACTTGGTGATCTTAGTGGTTTTTTCCAAACCTTAATGATTCTGTGATTTTATGCAGAGTGTTCCATGGCAGAGAGTAGACCTGAATGAGTTTTAAGGCCCCTTTCCAACTCAAACCATTCCATGGTTCCTTGGTTCTATGAAAAACTTGGTTTGCTGCTGCATCTACATGCCCCAGCCATCCTGAGGAGGTGCCATGGGGATGAAAGAGCATCCATAGAGCATCTGCAGAGCCTCCATTTCCAGGTACAGCATCAAGGAACCATACTAGAACCAGGCTGAAGAAAGTGTGAAGGGTCAGCAATGCCAAAAGCAAGAAGCAGGCAAGTAATAGGTAATTAGTTTAAGAGGCTTTGCTGATTACATGTAAAGCTTTTAATAATTTAGGCCTATGAATATCTCTTTTTCCCCTTTTTTTCAGCAGTGTCTGCCTGTCGCCAACTTTCCCCTGCCTCCTGTGGGACTGTATTTCTGCTGCTGGGGACTCTGACATGGACCACTGTGACCCTATGGGCTTCCAGAGGATGGACCATGGGGCACCAGAAACTCCACCTCCCAGGTCAAAAGCAAAGACTTTGACCCCATTGCCCAGCACAGGGTGCAGCTGCAAGCTCTGGACACTCAGACCTTGGACTGTGAGGCTCCAAACAAGCTACGCTGCACCAGGGGCTCTGCTGAAGCCTCCAAAACCTATAGAGGCTGCCTGGAGAACTCTGCAGGTAGGTCAGTGGAAGGTTGTGTTTCTGTTATTTATTGACCAGCTGAAGGCTCACGGGGCAGATGGATGCCTCCTCAGGGCTGCATTTGGCAGAGGTAGCCCTGATTTCTGCTGGCTCTGACCTGTGAGTGGCAGCAGATGGGAAGCAGCATGGCCCTGTCCTGCTGCCCATCGTCTCTGTGACTCATCCTGCAGCCCAAGCAGACGTCAGTCCTGCTGTGAGCTGAGCAGTGTCACAGGGGTGCTGTGCTTCACCTTATCCAAATAAAACTGGTGTCGAATTAATAATCTTGCCCCAGACCAGGTCTGGCATGCTTCTGGCAGCCTAGTGCCTACAGCTGTACCCAATGCTTTGAAACATGAATGAGATAATCCTAGTAGTCTTTTCCAATCTTAGTGATTCTGTAAAATGTGGAGGTGTAATACTTAGGGATATGGTTGCAATTGGTGAGCTTAGAAGTCTTTTCCAACGTTAATGATTCTATGATGACTTCAAGATGATCTTGCTGGAGGCCAACCCCAGGTCCATGGGCAGAGCCAGAGCTGTTGGCAAGAGCTCAGGGGCTGCAAGCAATGCTTGAAAAGTTTTCCTGCCACGATGGCACACTGCAAACCTACATTCATGATTTCAGTACCTGCACAGAGCACAGAGTTGAAGAGCACTTTGGAGACTCTGTGGGGAAAACGTTTGCATGCGAAGTGCCCTTCACAGCTCAGCCCCTGTGCAATCCTCCTGTGCTCTAGCAGCCAAACTGGCATTGTTTCGATACCAGGAAGCCCCATGCCACCCTGGCCCCAGTCCCTTCTTCCAGGCCTTTTTCTCACCATGCAGAGCCCAGAGCCATGCGCATCGCAGTCGTCGGGGCTGGAGTGATCGGCCTGTCCACCGCCCTGTGCATCCACGACCGCTTCCATGCACTGGTGCCCCAGCTGCAGCTGGAGGTCTACGCCGACCGCTTCACGCCGCACACCACCAGCGATGGGGCTGCAGGCCTGTGGCAGCCCTACCTGAGCGACCACGGCAACCTGCAGGAGACGTGAGTTGGGGGGTCCCTTTCAACCCAAGCCATTCTGTGATAACTGTGCGGATTAGGGGCTGAGCTGTTGGAGAGGAGCTCTGCGGAGAGTGACCTGGGTGTCCTGGTTGATCATGAGCCAGAAGCGTGTCTTCGTGGCTAAGAAGGCCAATGGTACCCTGGGCTGCATTACTAAGAGCACAGGTGGCAGGGTGAGGGAAGTTCTCCCCTCTGCTCTGTCCTGGGGAAGCCATATCTGGAGCACTGGGCCCATTGCTGAGCTTCCTGTCTGTCTTGAGCTGGGGAGCCACTGGAGAGAGTCCACTGGAAGGCTGCAAAGATGGCCTGGAGTGTCTTCTGATGGGGTTTTTCCACACAGACTGTGGAACAAGGAGACCTTTGAGCACCTCCTGGGGTACCTCAACTCACCAGAAGCAAAGGAAATGGGACTGTTCCTGATTTCTGGATATAACCTGTTTAAGCAGCCTGTACCGGTAAGGAGAGGGCACAGGGGAGGCAGGAAGGGCTCCAGCTCTGGGCAGTGTGCAGGTTTGAGTTTCTGGGCTGGAGCTGGGCAGCAGGGATGTCTCTGTCACTCCTGCCCCTGCAGTACCACAATTGATTACTGTCATTTGAGTGACATCAATCCTTCTCTCCTTGCAGGATCCATCTTGGAAGAACATTGTCCTTGGCTTCAGGAACTTGACACCGAAAGAGCTTGAACTCTTTCCTGGCTACAGGTACTTTCAGGCCCTTTTTCTGAGAGTTTCTGGGCTCCATCACAGTTACTTCCCTTAAAAGTAGTACAGATCACCTCAAAGAAAGCGATAACAATGCATGAAAACCATTTCAGCTTCCTCTCTCATTTCACTGCATACCATTGAACTTGAGAAGAAAACAGATATGCAGTAAAAGGGGAAAAAATAAAGCCCTGGCTCTGCCTGTGCATGAGGCAACCACCCTTGGGCAGCTGTTGTGGTCTTTACTACTTTCTATCCTCATGTCTTTCAGCTATGGCTGGTTCAACACGGCGCTGATGCTGGAGTGCAGGAGCTATTTGCCCTGGCTGACCAACAGGTGAGTACTAAGCCCTGCTGCTGCTCTTCCCTGGTTGACCTGGAGGGCTCAGCAGGGCTTTTGGCCATTAGGGAAATGAGCTAATAATGGCTGGAGAGTATTTAAGAACTGCTGAAAAGACCATGGATGTTTATTACAAGGAGCAACAAGCCATACTTACCCTGTGCATCAATTACAGGCATTAATTTGAATGGTACATTGGCTTTTATGTGCTGGTAAGAGATGAACTTGCTCTTCCAGGCTGGCGCAGAGAGGCGTGAAGTTCTTCCACAGGAAGGTCGAGTCCTTCGAGGAGGTGAGCTGGGATGTGGGGAGCACGAGGCTGGAATTCCTGCTGCAGAAGGTTCAGTGAGGACACCCACCCCAAAGCACTACGCTTCAGCAGAGCTTAGGGCTGGTGGGGAGCCAGGATGCAGTGAGGAATCAGCAGTGCAGCTTTGCCTTAAGCTGCAAACACTTTCTTTGCTTGTACACTTGGGAGCTGTGCTGAGGAAGCTATGCCTTGGGACTGGCCCTTCTGTTCTATTCAGTACCAGAGTGCTGGACCAAATGCATGGTTTGGTATTGATGCAGGAGTCTCGTGCTCGCTGGGGTAGCATCAGTGCCTGCATGCTGCACACTGCACCACCTCTGTCTCTTGGCAGATGTTTTCCCAGGGAATTGATGTTGTCATAAATTGCACTGGGATCCGTGCTGGGGAGCTGCAGCCAGACCCAGCTCTGCAGCCTGCCCGTGGGCAAGTCATCAAGGTGAGGCTCAACCTGCTCCATATGCATCCCATGTCCTGCCTGTCACCCGCTGTCACCCTCCTGCTTTCTTCCCCCAGGTCCTGGCCCCATGGTTGAAGCACTTCATTATCACTCATGACATGGAGTCAGGGATCTACAGCTCACCCTACGTCATCCCGGGGTAGGTAGCAGCGATCCTGGAGCTAGCAATGATGTGCACTCAGAGCAACCCCCAGCACTGCTCCCTGTTGACATCTGCACACAAGCTCTGCCTTCCCTGCCCGTCTTTTACTGTGGAGCAGAGCTCAAGGAGCAGCAGTGCCAGGCAGAGCCCAGCTGCCAGCACATCTCCAGCATCTGCTTCCCTCTGGCTGCTTTCTTAGAGATGCTGGGATCTGTCTCAGAGGGCAGCAGATGCATGTACCCAGGGAGCTAAGCAGCAGGGTAAATAAATCCATGTCTGCTGTGCATCCCTCCTGCGTCCCCCTGAGAGCAGCCATCCACTGCACTTTGGCAACGGAGAGGTTTTTTAAGCCGTAACCTGAATGCTGCACATCTGGCACTTCCATTGTGCTAATATCTCAGGATTAGGCAAGAAGCCCAGATGTAAATAGGAACTTTGAATGCTCACAGCTCCCAAGTGAAGTGCTCCAACTGATCTCTTATCACAGTCCCAACCCCACAGAAATTCCTCTCTCCATGTGTTTATTTTTGCTAGCTGTTCCATAGCTGGGTATAGGCTGGCTAAGAGGGGAGCAGAAAACGGTGGGAATCTGAGCTCCTTGCCAGGAGCATTCCATTCCTTCACCCTGTTGATAGCAGATGAAATCAGCCCTTTTCTTTGCCAAGGCCTTTCGGGTGCTGATAGTGTTTAATGAACAACTTTCCCATGAGCAGACACTCAGGCAGACCTTTCTGCCTGCTTGGCTCCCGAGGGTGCCTCAGGCAGGAGCATGCTGTGGGTACAGCAGGACCCACACTGAGTGCCTCCATCTGGTGGCACCAGGACCATTTACTGCCCTTTGCTCTTGGTACAGGAGTGAGTTCACAGTTTTGGGAGGCATCTACCAGCAAGGCAACTGGAACGAAGAGAACAGTGCTCAGGACCACAAGTCCATCTGGGAGAGGTGCTGCAGGCTGCTGCCCACGCTTCAGGTGAGTGACCCCAGCCCAGCACCAAACCCCAAAATCAGCAGCACATGGTGACTGCCTTCAACAAACCCTGAGAGCTGGAGGGTTTTCTGTGCACCCCCTCATTGCTTGCACCTTCCCGGTGTGGTTGCTGGGAGGATTTTGGCTTCTGTGAGTCAGAGCAATGCTGGGCTGATGGGATTCTGCTTTCAGAAAGCAGAGATTGTGCAGGAGTGGAGTGGCCTGAGACCAGCACGTCCCAGCGTCCGCCTGGAGCGGGAGAGCATTGGCCATGGGCGTTCAAGGACAGAGGTACTGTGCTCATTAACTGTGGTGCTAATTGGGTGCTGATGGCTACAAACTTGGCTGCTGCTCTGCAGCCACACTGCCACGCTCAGCTGTCCTCGCTCCATCTCCCCTCTCCTGATGGCAAATCCTCAATTCAGTTTCAGAGATCAGAGATAAGTGTCAAAAACATTGTGATGGATTTTATGGGGAGAGCATTCCTGCCAAAGGAAAACTTGTAATTGGAGCTTTGTCCTTCACGGACAGAGAAAAATTCTGAGGCACCAAGCCCTGCCTATTTCTCTTTTAAGAGAAAGGAGTTGGGAATGGCACCAGCTGCTGTGTGCCACTGTCCTTGTGGCAGACAGAGATGGCGTTGTGCTTGAGGCTATTCAGCATAACACCATCCATGTAGGATCCCATCACTCCTCAGCTCTTCAGCCTGAAGCTCATCTGCAGTCCTACAAAGGGAACTGTGGTTTGGGTATGTGCTTCTGTGCAGCTCTGAAGAAAAGATTAGAGCTCCAAAGGGGATGTGACTGCAAAATGTAATTAAGTGTAATGAAAATAGATTCAATTTTTAGCTGGAAAGCTTTGGAAAGAGCTCAGTGTATTTAGGCAAACGTGGTTCAAAGTGAGGCTGCGTTTGAATTGCTGTTTGGATCATTCTGTTCCTTTATCAGCATGTCGTATCTGTGCAGCTTTGGCACAGGAGCGGTGCAGCCATCGATCCCAGCAGCAAGTCGGGCTCCAGCCGAAGCAAAGCCATTTACCTTGTCAGGAGCAAACCCTGCATGCTCTGAGGAGCAGGGTGGTGAGCTGCTGCAGTCTGACTCCCTCTGTCCCCAGCAGGTCATACACAACTACGGCCACGGTGGCTTTGGGATCACCATCCACTGGGGCTGTGCCATGGCCGCAGCCCGGCTGCTCGGGAACATCCTGCAAGAGAAGCAGCAGCCCCAGTCCCGCCTGTGAGTTGCCTTCTCAGCTGGGATTATTGCGATAGCAGTACCTTAGAAATCACAGCAAAAAGATCCAAGCAACACTGGTGCACGTGGGCTGTTGACACTCCTGCTGGCTTTGCTGATGCTTCCTCCTGTCTTGTTTTCGGGTTGCTGCCAGTTCTGCTGCTGCCATTTGCCAGACGGCCGAATTTCCTCCATCGTGGCCTCGTGCAACCTACCCAAAGGAAGTGCTTTAAAACATGGACTAATTATCTGTGACAAAGTGCACTTCTGTCTCAGGGATCAGACTGCAAAGGGCAGGTGGAGTTCAGTTGAAGCCTTGGCAGTCCTGCAGTTTATCTGCACGCTGAGACAGGATCTGAAAGCGAGCTGGTGCCGTGCGAGGTCTCCACTGGCTGCTCAGACACCCGGCATGTAATTGGATTTGCAAGCTGCCCCCAAGAGGCAAAAGCTCCTTAGTAGGAAGAAGCTCCTGGGGAAGTGACAATGGCCTCACAAGCACGTGCTCCACTTGCAATTGCTTTTCTTACGCTCATGCCAGGACAAAGCACGGGTCTGCAGCACCTGGTTAGTGTATCTGGCAGCAGACAGCAGTGGTTACCTAAAATGGCTTTCCAAATGATGGTTTTAGTAACAAAAGCAACATGTTCCAGCCCTGTGTACTTGCCAATTCCTATATATAGCACAGTGCATATGCCAAATAGCTGTTCTTGTCCCTAAAACTCCCACGGGCACTTTGGTTTCTCATTTCCCTCTGCTGTGAAGAAGCCTTGGGGCTGTGCTGATCAGAGGAGGCAGGGACACCTCCCAGGAGGGTGACTCTTCTTGGAGAGAGGAGCCAGAGGTGGTCAGTGTCACTTCCAAGGGCCCCAGGCCTGGTTCTAGAGATGAGCTTTGGCCTCTTGTTCTGTGCCACGTGCCTTTCCTGCTGTAAAGATTTCACAAACAGAAAGGTGCTGTGAGGTCAGAAAGCATCAGCCTCAGATCCAAAGTGCCGTACTGGTAAATGAGAGCTGCTGCCGTGCAGCCAGGTTTGTCTCACCTCCTGGGGAGCTGGATTCAACAATCCCATGGCCCCTGCACCCTGTCCAAGGACCTGTTGTGATGCTTACCCAAGAGTGAGCGCTCAGTGCTGCAGGAAACAATCCACACACACAAGACCTGCTGCCCCAGACATGTATGAGCCTTGTCTCTGTTTCCGAAGTGCTGTGGAGGTCACTGTGCCAGCACAGCCCCAGGAGACCTCCCCATGACATGGTTCTCCACTGAACGCTGTGACTGTTCACACTGTGAACTTAGCAAGTTTTACACGCTGTGAGCAGTGGGAACAACCTGAGCAGCTTTGCTGAGCACGAGCTCAGTGTTTGCCATTGTACAAACGCAGCAGTAGTTCTCACCATAAGGGCCAGGATTTCTCAGGAGTGCTGCTCTGTCCCCTCTCTTATTTCTCCACCTTTTGCATCCTTGATGCTTGCCCGTGCTGTGACACCTGCAGCACCACTGTGTGGAAATAGGAGCTCCTGTCATGTCCAGTCTGTCTGCCAAAGGGTTTCCCACTTCATCTGGCAGCTCACCTGATGTACTGCAGTCACATTTATAGGGTTGTCATGCAGAAAAGAACAGTGAAAAGAAAATACCTAGAGAAAATTTACCATTGATGGATGCTAAATCTAATTGTCTGTAGTAGTGCTGGAGTAGGAGCTGTTTGGCAAAGTGGCATCTGCTTGAGTTCATTTATACCAAATAGATGAGATATGAAGGACTGTCTTCTCCTCACGTTTGTGCTGGTGTAACTCCAAGCGAAGAAGCAAGCTGGCAAAAAGCAGTTGATTCTTCTGATCTCAGAGCCTGTAGAACAACTGCCCTGCATGGGTCAGGATGACAAACGCAGCTGTACGTGGCCTCTTAGAAAACAAACAGAAATGACTGGGTTTTATTTACAATTTCTATGTTGCTTATTTTCTAAAAGGCTACAATTTAATGTGTGTGCACAATAAAGATCATAGCCAACTACCCTGTGTGATGCTTTTTGTAACAGTACCATGACTTCAAATTTGATTTGACAGCAACATTCTAGCAGATCACCATTCCTTCTCCCAGTGTTTAATGCTACGTGTTTCCTGGATGTTTCCTCCTGCAGAAGGAACAGCTGTCATTTCACTTTCTGAGTAGACAAACAAAGCTGAAATAGTGCAGTGTGAAGCTGTTTGGGTGTCTGTACGTGGCTGCCCGTAGCCCTCAGACCGCTAAGAGCTCACAGACAGAACTGTGTGGGGTTCTGCCATTGGGCTCAGCTGGGCTCTGCTTGGAGAGCAGAGCTACAGGAGCAGAATTTTGCACTGCTGGAAGCAGTGGAACACCATGGGGTAGAAGAATCATGGAGAGTTAAGTTCATTTTCTGTGGCAACGGTAAGAGAACCAGGAGGGAGCCTGGACAGCTACTGCAAATGTGTTCTTGACAAGCAAAAAATGTCCTCTCCAGAAGCAGAGTCAGCACAATTCAGGAGCTCACAGCGATGGCCTGTGACACAAAACAAACCTGGAAACGCACCAAGTATCAGTAAAGTCATCCTCTGTGAGCCAGCGGCAGCTCTGGCATTTTGGAAAGCAGAATGAGCTTCAGGAATGGCTGAAGATGCCAAAAATTCACAGAAGACACAGAACAAACACTCTCCCAAGTCTTGCTGCCACGATGCAAATTCACAGCAGTGAGAGCAGAGCTGCTGCACGCTGAGATGGGAGCACGCTGCGATAGCGGATCATCAGCTGCGGTGGCTCAGATACAAACCTCTTTTTGTTTGTAAATCACTGGGTATCAAAACGCCATTGGAAGAGCGGAGGAATGCAGTCAGAGTTACACAGTTATGTCTTACAGTAATGAGATAAGTAAAGTTTACATGAAGAAGTAAATTAATAGAAGCCTCCCTGCCCTGAAGGCATCCAGTATCTGACCGTCATGACAAACCCCACTGAGGCTACTTACCTTTATAATAGTCCTATGGAACAGCCATTTTTACTGAAAAAACTATTTATTTGTCCAACAGAAAATATCTAGTGTGGAATTAAACGATCCAATGTTGCATCAGTAACAGAGGAACAAAAGGATTATTTTACAACAAGCTCCATATACACAAAGTTTTTCAACATTAAAACGTATCCAGCTTAGAAACTGTACATTCAAACACAGGAAAACATTCAATGTTCTTTCTGCAAGCATTTAGGAATACGAAATCATTCCATCAAAGCACACTTGGAGAATTATTTTTCCCACAACAGCTTTGCACATTAATATATTGAACAGATAGCAAAACTCTGAATCCCACAACTCTCTTTGCTCTCATTAGAATCCAAAACTATGTCACTTCATTGTTCTCAATGAACTAGCTCTATTAATTCCTTCATCAGTGAAAAATACTCAGTGTGTAAAAGGATCTTTGGAAGCTTATATACATCAGTGGTGTTGCCATATTGACCATATGACATGTGGTTATAGGCTGCAGTGTATCAAGCCAAACATCCCTTGGTTTTTCAGTGCGCTGTCTACCATGTCCTTCCTTTCTTAATAACACAGACACATTCTCAGTTGCAGAATTTGTAAAAAGTGAAAAGCAAAAACGCCCTCAATTTTTATTCTAATACAGGTTAACACTGAACTCAACAGCATCCAAAGGCTGTGTGTTACCTACAAGTCTTCACGTGGGCAATATGTTGTTTGCAGTTTACTCGATATCTCTACTTCCCTAAACCCTCTGAATGCACGTTTTGAAGGCCATTGCAATGCTGTTGAATATTGGCTCAAAAAATAACAAAGTGCCCTGTGAACATTAACACTGGAAAAGCAGAACTTTAACGAAAAGGCTTTCAATAACAAACCAAGGCAGCAGCCAGGCTGCGAGGTGGCATTCATCCAGCCATGGATTTCATTTCATATTCACCCTGACCTCTAAGGTGGGCTCACACCCAGCTGGATTCTCCTATAGGCACTCCAGTTTTGGGGTGTTCACTGCACTGTAAGCATCCAGGAGATGCTTCCATCCTCTGCTGCACCACATCCATCCCTCGTGCATCCAAGGGAAATGAGTCAGTGCATCTCTGAGGCAGCACTGAGCTACCCCAGTTGCATAGTATATTAGAGAAAGCTATCCAACTACAGCCTGATAAAAGGTGGCAAAAACAAATTACGTGCACTGGTTGTCAGCTCCATGAGAGCCCTGTCTGTTTACTGAGGGCTGACTGGAATTTGAGCTTGCTGGAGACCGAGCACACAGGATAAAGACACAGCAGAGACAAAGATCAGAGATAACCAGACCCACACCAAGCAACAGTCACTGGAACAAACAGTGCATTCCTACATTGCCCACCATATCTACAGCAGGATCCCCTGCGAGCTCAGCTGCATTTTCAGACAGCCACAAAAAGAAAAGTGCCTGCTTGCACCCACTGCTCCCAGAATCTCTCACTGCAGCCACCATCAGAAAGCAGTAAGTGAGCAGACAGACATTCTGGTGCCATGTCAAACTCCAGCTTTTCTCAGCAGAAGACACTCAAACATGGAATATCAACAAACTCTTTGGCCTTTTTGTAAATTAGTCTGAGTTCCCTCAGTTTCTTGTCCAATTCTCCTTCGACACCATAAACAAACAAACAGCCCAACATGTCTCAGAGCATTACACAGCACTACAGTGCTGCAAATCCCTAAGTGAAAGGTGAACCCAACAGTGTTCATTTGTATTGCACCCAAAAACAGACTCAGCGACCTGTTATTGCCCCACAGAAGAGGGGCTTGGTTCCCAGAATACTTAAAATACTTTATTGTGCAAAATTTGTTGCACATTTACCTATGTTTCTGTGAGACAACGGACTACACATATTAGAAAAAATGTATTGCTTTCCCACAGCCTATTGATTAGCATCTAGCCCATCTCATTCCACTGGGTCATGTGTTCTATAGTGAGGAATTCAGAAAGCAAACTGAGCCATAGATGCTCAGACAGGTCTCAGTTTCTGTTTGTATTTTCTTGCTGCATATCCACAGGCTCTGAATTCTGACTCCCTGCAAAGACAAATTTCTGACAAACGAGACAAACTTATCCTCACCTGAACTCTGTTGCATTCTCCACCAAGAGCAGGGATCATCAGCCTCCACGGACTGGTTACGTCTGAAGGAATGAAGTTCCTCTTCTCAGGAAGACTGTGGGTTAGCTCTTCCCAGGATTTTTGTTTGTGACACGATGCCAGCTGCATTCCTTTGTCACCTGCTTACCACTGCAGTCATGCAATCTGCAGCTATTGAGAAGTCCAGTCCAGCTGTCAGGAGACCAGCTTCTGTTGGGAGACACTCCAAACAGGCACCTTCCAAACTGTTCCGTGTAGCCGTTCAGACTGAGGCACCTTCACCAAACATTCTGGGTACACCACTGCAGGAACACACGTAGGCAAACTGAGCAGAAACAGACCTGAGCCCATGCAGAAAACCACAGCGTGCATCTCCACGCACAAAGAGACACCAGCACAGCTGAAGCAGTCTTCACCAAGCAACACAGTGCTCAATGTTCCTGGCAATGGTAGAAAAATCAAATTCTGCTCCAAAGCATCAAGAGTTACAGAGTGCATACACCTCTCATATGAGATCCCATCTCTGCAGCAAACACCACTCCTCACCAACTCAAACTACCTGCCTCGAGTGGGAGAAGCATTCGGGAAATAGATTCCAAGCAATCTCCCTCACAGTGCCTGTTAATTCTCAAGGAGCAGAACCTGTAAGCAAGGGAATAGTAAGCATTGGTTGGTTTGCTGTTACTGCATTGTTGTTGTTGATGATGGCTAAAAAGTGCAAGGCAGGCATCTAGTTCGTAAAACCTATTTTGTAGTGTATGGAATCCACCATATGCTATACCAAGTACACAATAAATATTAATCTTTTGTTTTTAGGCATCGAGAGTACATTATTTTAATTACAGCTTATACCGAGTGGCATTCAGTTAATTATCTGCTTGACACGGGACATTGTAAGCTGAGTAGCTGACCATGCAAGCACAACAGACTTGAGAAAAACCCTTCCTGCTAAAATTCAAACGACATCTGGATCAAATGCCTTTGAACATGGAAGTGAAGTCTTTACGTGTGTGAGCAAAGAGCAGTAGTGACACAATTTACTGAGGTTCAACCCAAAAGTTCCTGCAGTTTGACACATAACGTTGGCAGTGACAGAATGGTCTGCTTTCTATGCTTCAGAGTTGGCCTTTTTGGGCACTTATCTTGCTTATTTCATCCATTCCTTCAGCAGGATTTTATGTCTCATCACTCCTGTGACCCAGAGTTAGACCTGGTGACTCCTGGGGAATGAGATCCTCTCCCAACCATCTCCTGTCCCCATTCTCTGTGGCTGGACTCCTGTAAGCCACGACCTTTTGTTTCAATGGGCAAGAAGAAGGAAGCCACAGCAGCCAGCAGACAACATCCACTGTAAACAGCCAGTGTTAAATAGACTGAAGATTCCAACATCACCTGCAGAAAATACAAAATATTACCACCAGGAGGAATTTTAGGGCTGCACACTTTTCTTTCCTCAAAGACTACAGTCATAAGTTTTCTACTTAGCTTTTTGCAGAGCAGCAGTTCCTGACACAGCCTTCTTAGTCCTGTCCCACAGAGCCTGGCTCTCCCAGACCTCCTGCCTAGCATTCCACGCGTGCTGCAGGTTCACATTCCCTAGAACTTGAGGTCTCAAAGGAAAAGCAGCACTGCACAACCCACAGAAACCTGTAAGCCACTCACAGATCCCATCTCCTAGATGGGTGCCTTCCGAGGAGCCCCCACATCCATCCAGCAGCCTGCTCTGTAGTTATTTATCTCCCATCATAAGACCCTTGAAATAAGAGATGAGCCTGAACTCTCTTCAGGGACTGGGCAACAACTATCCTTCAACATATCACGCACAGACTGACCTTGGTGTGGCTCTTACAGAGAGGAGGCAGGTTCTCCATCACCTTCCTAGGCCATCAGTACTGAGG